ATAAAACAAAATATTTTAATATTATAAATATTCATTTGATTTTTATTTATTTTATATATATTTCTTTTCTTTAATTAATCGATACTTTAGGAATACAAAATTTAGAAAAAAATATTTAAAAAAAAAAAAAGATAAAATTCAGAGGATACGGGGATATAGATAATAGACACGCGACTATCATCGTCGTTAAATAGAATAATAGGCCAGGAGAACGCGTATCGTGAAACTGAAACTGTGCGAGTCTCGAAACATGCTTCGACGAATGCACGCAGTGAGTAGAGTATACCTATCTCACTCTCTCTCTCTCTCTCTCTCTCTCTCTTTCTTTCTCATACTAGTATCTCACCAACTCGTTTTCTCTCTTTTCCACTACAGTAGCAGCAAATTAGTATGCAACTCGGTGTATTAATAGACAGGGAACAATGCTCAGGGCCTCAGAGCTTGCTGAGAGCTTCGGACTCTCTCTCTCTCTCTCTTTCTCTCTCTCTCTCTCTCTCATTCGTTGCTTCTATTTCTCTTTCCTTCTCTCTCGTTTCCGTGAACAACCCCTTTCCTCCCAGCCTTCCCAAAGTTTATTGGAGGCAGGCAGACAACTCTCACAATCATTGGTGGTGGTGGTGGTGGTGGTGGTGATGGTGGTGGTGGTTTTCGCGCCACTGTTAACGGCTCAATTGTGCTTTCCTGAACGGTTTCCGTCTTTCCGCGTTTCTCTTGACGTGGAAATAACTTGTTAGGTGGGAGGGGGGTAGGAAGAATGGCAGGGAAGGGGCCACCAGTTCTCTCTCTCTATCTATCTCTTTCTTTCTTTCTCTCTCTCTCTCTCTCTCTCTCTCTCTTTATCTACCTCTTTCTCTTTCTCTTTTTTAACCACTCGTAAAGAAATTCTGGCAAAAATTAAAGAAGTGGCTAACAATACGAGAAGAAGAAGATGGAAGAAAGATTAGAAGAAAGAAGTTCTTTTTCGAATTTTGTTTAAAAACGATTTCCTTTTTTTTTTTCTGACAAAAATATAATCTTAAAAGTTGATTTATAAAACTATTGCAAATTCATTTGTTCACACGCACGCTATTTCTATCTTTCTCTTTCTCTTTCTTTCTGTCTTTCTGTCTTTCTTTCTTTCTTTCTTTCTTTCTTTCTCGTTTTTTCCTATTTGTCTATTTAAAAAAACAAAAAAAGAAACTAAAATCATAAAAATCTATCGAACACGATAGGGGAATACGTTTTATCTCTTTTCAACGTATTTGGCGTCGAGCCGAATTTTATGTTGGGATCTCGGATGATTTCTTCGCGGCTTTTGTTTCAATCGCTATTAACCTTAGAAACACAATTGATATAACACATGAATAACTTCTTATGGAAAATATTCGTAAAACTAATTTACTTCAAGCAGTCCGAGGTGTTACGTTGTATAATATAATATTTTATTTAACATTAGATTTATCAGACACCAGTCAAAACTGATTGGTATTGCAATTTCCATTTCAAATTCCTACTGCACTGTTAACATTTTCTTTCAGTAATGATATCATAACTTTTGTAACTATAACTTAATTACTTTTATGAACTTAATAATATCTTATATAACATGTTACATTCGTAAGAGAAATATATTTTTTCCTATAATTATTTTTTTACCTGACTTAACACACTTAAACACTTTTTTTAAAGACCTCATCATTTTGACTGGTTTTTGTAGAAATAGATATATCAATAATAGCTAAAGATAAATCTAATTTTTGATGATATAGGTTCATAGGGAACTTGGACATGAAAAGAAGTAGATTTTAATTTAATTAAGTTGGACGTTTCGTCCCTTTATTGGGACTTCTTCAGCAACTTAATCATTAAAGCTCAGCGTCTTTTTTATTTATTTCGACATACATTTCTTTTTATAATATTCCAAACACAATACATCTAAACTTCGTTAGTTTGATCGTTATTATTGTTTTTTATATTTTATTTTTGATACTTATCTAATCTTGATCTCGATCGAAATGAGTAGGATTTAAATACATTTCAAATTGTAATAATTACGTATTATTACTTTTTAATAATAATATCTTATATTTATTTATAATA